TCACTCAGCATAATGCTCTCTAGTCATCCCAAGTTAGGTTAATAATTTACAAAATCATTACTCCTTCATGCTGCATAGTATTCCATTGTGTGTATGTACCATAATTTCTCAATCCACCTGTGCGTGGTTGGACATTTGACCTGTTTCTATGTTCTGGCGATGGTGAATAACGCTGCTATGAACACTGATGTAAAAAACTCCATTTCCCCCTCAGTTCTTATTTTCTTAGGGTACATTCCAAGGAGTGGAGCAAGGATCTATAAGATTTTTCTCACATTCTTTGGGCACATGGCCAGAAATGACCAGTCTTTGGAGAGGGACACCATGGTTGGAAGGGTGGAAGCACAGAAGAGGAAGACTTTGGATGAGATGAATTGACTCAGTGACTGGAGAAATGGGAGATGATGAGATTGGTTCAAGACAGTGCAGGAGTCAGAGTGAATGTACACAGGGTCACTGTGAGTACAGACACATCAGTGGCACATAACAATGACCACAACAACAACAACATATTTGGGTTCATTTTACCATTTATTGTGTATTTTTTGTTGTTCTTTTCTTCCCATACCCTTCCTTCTTGTCTAATTTTGGGTTGAATATTATTTGTTTGGGTTTTTTTTCTTGTTATATTTTTATTGCCTTCACAAGCTTGGATGTACTGTCTAAAATTACTGTCCTAGGGCTTACAATTGTTCTTTAATAAACATTTTAAAAAATAATGAGTTTATTTTACAACCAAAACAAAGGCTTAGGATACTTCAGTTTTATTTCTCAGAATTATATTCTCTAACTCCAGTAAGTTATATTGCTTTCTCTTGTTTAAGGGAGGTCTGTTGACATAGTCTGGAGAGAGTTGCATTGCCAAACCAAAGGTAGTGCCTCTCTAGCAGTTCAAATCCAGCAGAGCCTCTGTAGGAGAAAGAGGGGTAATCTCCTACCATGATAATTGTTTGATGTTCTTAGGTGCCATTGAGCCACTTTGACTCCCCCATAAACCTGCTGGAGAGTCAGCTATGAGTCACTTCCAATTCCTTGGCAGTGAGTTTGAAATCATATCTTTAAATCCCAGGGTACATCTTTATTCTCATGCTTAGTCTCCTCTAATGTTGCTTCTTGTCCATCCTTCTGGTATTTCCTTTTAGGACTCGTAGAGTTAGTTGAGACCGTCTTACCTCCTCTGTATGTTTGAACAATTTTTTAATACTTTTCCATTATTTTGCCTCTTGGCACAGCAATTTGAATAGCTTCTCCACTGCTGTCATCGCACTGCTTTTGAATTCTCTTTCACAGCTCTGTCTAATCTCTTTTTAAATAATTCTATGGAACTTTAAGCTTTAACAGTGTTTTTAATTTCTAAATCTTCTACTTGGCTATTTACAGATTTACCTGTTAGGTTTTATACCCCTTTCGCTCCCTGATTTTTAAAGGCTTCTCTTTTGTTTATTTATGTTCAAAAGTTTAGAAATTTTTATTAATTATCTTAAGAAAAATTTAATATATGGGGAAAAAAGAAAAATTTAATATATAGATTTAAAATGGTTGGCTTCTTCATACTGTTTGTTAACAGGGATGTAAACACCTACAAAATATTACTGCTTCCCTCCCCCCAGCATTATCCATTAGTGAAGCACAATGCCGTCATTATTGCATTGATAGACTACATATTAAAAGTCTTTTCTGTGGGTTTTTTTTCCATAAAATGATACTGTCACAGGCCATAATTTTCATGTTATCTACTTTAATGAGTTCTGTCACTTGTCTGAATCCTTCATGCAATAGAACAACCCACACACTATCACAAGTTCTGCACATATTTGAAGAGCCTCTTAAATGGACTCTATTCTTGACTTGGAGACAACACTGAATTTTTGATGGAACTTAAAGTGATGGTGGTAGTTTTGACCTTGTCTATGCTTCTGGGTGTTGGCTTCTCAAAATGCATTTTTGCTTAAACTAACAGACTCAGGCTATTAAAGAATTCTAAAGAAAGAATGAGATTTTCTTGAATTGTTAGTTTTGATCTGATGTTCCAAAAGCTGTTAGATAAGGCATTTCCCCCGTTATGTGGGAAAGGAATAATAGAACAAGACACCTAAACAGAAACTCATTTTGTCTGTTAAACATACTAAAGTATAGTTGCTTTAGCTCACTATTTGAAATCCACAGTGCTAATTTTGCTTTTTTCTACTGGTACCCACTCAGAAGTTCTGACTTCTTGTGTATTTTGTCATTTTTATTGTAATGCTGTGTTCCTTGGAATTTTAATATATAGGAATATTTTGAGGACTGGGTTGTTACATTTCTCCAGAAAAGATCTGAATTTGTTTTTTAATCAGGGGCCCCTACCATCCTGTGACCACATGGACTAAACTCTGCATTAATTTAGCCAATACAGAGATTCAAATAGGCAAGTCTCCATGAAGCAGGAGTGGCATCCACTTCCTAAACAACATGCCTGTGGAAGCTCTATGAACTTTAATAAATGACGATAGTTATAGAAACGCTTCAGGTCTTTTGTTCATAGGGTCGCTATGAGTCATGCTCAACTAGAAGGCAATCAACAACAACCACCATGCTGTTATCTTTTTTTTTCTTTTTTATTTTTTAAATTTTATGTGTGTGTGTGTGTGTGTGTGTGTGCACTGTCAAATCGGATCAGACAAGTGGAGGAGGAGATTGCCACTCCTTCTCCAGCAGAGCATCTGGTGGATTCGAACCACATACTTCTGGGATTACAATGCAGCTTCTTACCACCAGGCCACCAGAGCTCCCTAATGCTATTATCTTTTGTGCAACATTTTTATTGTTTACCCTTATACAACAGTGAAAAAACATGGTATCCAAAACTCACGTGCAACCTCCTATTAGACTCCTCACGTTACGTGTGACCTTGGCATAAGTGGAGAAAGAGCGGCAATCTTGCTTGTTCTTGAGGCTGTCCACCAAAACTCGAAACCAAACACACTGCTGTTCCAACTCACGGGGACCCTCAGTCAGCCACATCCTGTTAACCATTAAAACAGACTCATTGTGACCAGATGAGACAGAGCAGATGAGACTGAGCTGCTATAGCAGTAAATCCTTACAGATGCATTCTGCCACATCCTTATCCTATGTTGCAGCTGATGAGAACAGGTTGTCTGCTTTTTGGTAGCAGCCAAGTACTTAAGTACTGTGTCACCAGGGTACCTTAACATTCCATTAAACAGTCAGAATTGAAGATCTCAAGGGTTTGGTAGAAGTTACTTTGTAAACATCAGCTTTGGGTCTTTTGATTTCTCAGAATTCTTGCTTTAACCACATTTCCAATCTCTAGAGATTCCTTATTTCATGCCTTCAGGAGCTCTGGTGTCCTAGTACATAGGGAGTTGGACTGATAACACAATGACTGTGCTTCTCTGCTATATACGAATCCACAAGAGGCTCTGTGGGTGAAAGAGATGTGTCCTCCTGTGTGATTTAACAAGCTCAGAAACTCTATCAATAGAGGGTCAACCAAGAGTTGGTTCCAACTAATCAGTAATAAGAGAATACAGTGACGCATAAGGGGCCTTGGTGGGACAGTGCTATATATGCTGGACTGTTAACCAGCAGGTTAATAGTTTGAATCCACCAGCAGCTCCACAGTATAAAGATGAGTCCGTCTCCCCCATAAACTGGCTTGGAAACTTGGTAGAGAGCCACCATGAATCAGAATTGAATCAAGGGCAGTGATATCGTTTGGTTTGGTTTATTACTGGTGACACATGACTTTGAACTGTGGTATTGGTAAAGAATATTCAGTATTTCACAGGCTGTCAGAATGTTGGGCTCCGAACCACAGTATCTAAGAGTCAAACCCACCAGTTGCTCCATAGGAGAAAGAGAAGCCAGTTCATCCTGTTAAGGCTTATGGCATCAGACAGCTGACTGAGGGTCCCCGTGAGTTGGAACAGCAGTGGGTTTGGTTTCGAGTTTTGGTGGACAGCCTCAAGAACAAGAAAACCTGTCTAGGAAGAAGTACAAATGGAATGCTTCTTGAAGGAAAGGATGGCCAGACTTCAGCTCAGATACACTGGGCATGTCATCAGATAGGACCAGTCCCTGGAAAAGGGCATCATGCTAAGTAAAGTAGAAGGTCTGTAAAAAAGAGGAAGACCCTCCAGAGATGGATTGAAGTGGCTGCAACAGGACCTCAAGCACCTGAGGAGTGACCTGGACAGTGCCTGTGAGGACGGCACAGTACCTGGCAGGATCTCTCTCTGATGTGCAGAGGGCTCCTCGGAGTCAGAACTGACCCCACGGCACCAGCAACATAGCGATGCATGTGAAATGCCTCTTTCAGTCATTTGCTATATACTGTGTTGTTGTATCATAAGGGCCTTCTGTGCTGTCATGTCCACCGTACTGGAGAAGTCTGCCATTGTCTAACTCACTCTCCTACCAGGCTTCTAGAAAACACGCCACTGAAACCCTTCTTGTCAAGATCACGCCTTATTCCCATATCACTGAACCTGCTATGGAGATCAGTCATTTCAGTTCTGCCCAAACATCTTACCTCTAGCTCTCATCTCATCATTCTGTCTTTCCTAAAGAGTTTCTTCACTCAACTTTTAGAATATTCCACTTGTTTTATGCTTTCATAGTACCTTGTCCTCACAACCCTGACACTTCTACAGAAATTCATATTCTTAACATCAGGGTGGTGATGGTGGTGGTGTATTCTGTCGAGTTGGAACCATCCCATAGGAGACCCTCCAGCAAGTTTTCAGAGGCAGTAAATGGCATGGGAGGAGATTGCCCATCTTTCTCCACTACAACAGCAGATGGATTTGAATGACATGCCTTCTTCAGGTTGTCAGTGAACCTCCTTACCACTAGGTTGCCAGGCAAAATAATTAGCAAAGTGCTTGTCACATGGTAAGTTTTCCATCATGACTACTATTGTTTTAGGGGGATGAAATACTCCTTTCACAGAGTGGAGGAAGGATGGCTCCTTATGTTCTGTTTGTTTTGTTTAGCTTGGCCGACCTTGAAGTATTTATAAAAACTAGTGAGAGTGGTTTGCTCATGAAAGTCGAAAAAGGAGATTTCAAAGGACTGGTTGAGATTACAGGGCACCTGATGGCTCTGAAGGAACGACAGAGCACCACAGATGAGATGTTTGAGCCCTTGAAGCAAACTATTGAGTTGCTGAAAACCTATGAACAAGAATTGCCAGACACTGTATATAAGCAATTGGAGGTCAGTGCAAAACTTATAGTTTCTGTTTCTTTATAATAGAAGATATACAGTGAAAGAATTAGGAAATTTTTTGGCAGACTATGTTGAAATATTCATAAGCAAAGAATGTGGTTATGATCCATGTTTTAGAACTATCATTTGTAGGCTATCTGTAATGTCTACTGCATACTAAAATCTCAGTAAGTCAGAGAATGTAATGCTGAATAAAAATGAGAGGATTAATACGTACAATTTTGCTTTCTCCCTCCCACAATAATTAAGAGACAACTCTTTCAATTGTCAGGAGAGAAACAAGTCTAATGGATGTTACATAGTCTAGGAGAAAATGTAGAATATAAGATAGAATGAACAGTCATGCTTAAAAGAATATGGAAAGGTGGAGTGTCACCGGGTTGGTGTTTGAAGAATAGTGTAGAGTTAGAAGGAAGTGAGCATCAACAACCAGGGCCATGAGTAAAGTAAGAAATGGATTTTGGAAAATATGGGTCAGTGGCACCAACACGCCATAGTAGGAGCTTGTATCTGGATGGAGACAGGTAGGTACTGTCCAACTTCAGGTCTGTTAAGGAGGGAAGCACTTTGTGAGTCTGACCACATTGAAGTCTCCTTTGCAGGAGTTGCCAGAGAAATGGAACAACATAAAAAAGATGGCCGTCACGGTGAGGCAGCAGGTGGCACCCTTGCAGGCGAGCGAAGTGACGGTCCTCAGACAGAGGTGCACAGCCTTCGAGGTTGAGCAGCAGCGATTCTGGGAGCAGTTCCGCAAGGAGGCTCCCTTCAGGTATGGACCGCAGTGGTTGTTGTTGCTTCTTTTCCTTTTAAGAATGTAATTGTTGAATCACTGGAGACACTCAGGTTGAGTTTGTGTGGTTTAGCTGATGAAGACCATTTAACAGTTTTCTTTCCGATTAAGGCCATTTGGTTGGAAATGGGCACCACAGTGTAATGGCTTTAATGGGACAGCCAAGGTTGTCTTTAGAAACAGCACCTTGTCTTTAGGGGAAAAAAAGTGTAGAAGCATGTTTCTAGTTCATCATGTTGTATAATTAACTACCAGCTTTTAACCAGATCTCCTAGCATTCTGAGTTCTCGGACAGACTTTTGTTCTTATAACAAATGCTGATAAGATTTTAAAATTATTTCAGAAGGCATTTTGTTAGTCTAAAATGATAATTTATAGTGAAATACTTTAGGGGGTTCTGTCTCTCTGTTTAGTAATGCTCAGACATTTCCTTCACTTGCTTTTTAAAATTAATTTGCTTTGTTTATTTTGTTCTTGCTCAGAACTCATATCTATTCAACAATTGCTCCATGTACAATTCAACAGCTCAGAGATTAGTTCTTCAAGTTATATAGCCATTCTTACCATCTTTTCTTTCAGTTGTTCCTCCTCTGTTAGTATAAGCTCACTGCCCCTAGTTTCCTAATCTTTAGGGTTTTCAGTGTAGGCCCATATGTCAGTTCTTGAAAGCCACAATATACTTAAGGCAGACATTTTTACTACTTAGATTGTTTGGTATTCAGAATACTTCAGAATATTTTTCCCCTGTTGTTTTTGTGGTTAGGTGCCATCAAGTCCACTATGACTCGCAGTGACCCTGTGAAAAACTGATTTGAACCTTCCCCTATCCTGTGCCATCCCCAATAATCTCTTTCCTGTTCAAATCCATTGCAGTAGTCACGATGTCAATCCATCTTGTTGAGAATCTTCCTCGCTTTCAGTGACCCACTGACCTTTTTGAGCATGATGCCCCTTCTCCAAGGACTGGTTCCTCCCAAAGTAAGGTAGATGGAGTTTCACCATCCTTGCCTCTAAAGCAGGCCAGGTTGCACTTCCTTTAAGACTTATTTGTTTGTTCTTTTGGCTTTCCACGGGATAGTCAGTATTTTTCTCCAACACCACAGCTCAAAGGCATCGATTCTCCTTCTGTCACTGTTAACTCTTCTTTCAACTTACAGGTGATCCTGCTGATATTTAAAAAAATTTATCCATAGGTATTTTAATCTTTTAGATGCTATTGTAAATGAAATTGTTTCCCTAATTTTCCCTTCAGATTTCTTACTGCTGTTTTTTTAAAATCTAACTGATTTTTATTTGTTTACTTTGTTTTGTTGTTTTTTCCTTCTGTCAAGTTGGAATGAGCCAATGTCCTCCAGCAGGTTTTCAGAGGCAGTTAATTGCTTCGGAGATTGTCCTCTTGCAGAGCAGCTAGTTGATTTGAACCATATACCTTTGGAATTGCAGCGCAACTCCTTACCACTAGACACTAAAGCTCATTGTCTGCCTTGTAATACTGCTAAATTCCTCTCCTGGCTCACCAGCTTTCTTGTGGATTCTCTGGGATGTTTTTATTAATAGAATCGTGCCATCCATTAATAGAGATAATTTTACTTCTTTTTCTGTCTGTATACATAGGATCCATCCACTCTAGTTGATCTGTCTCACATTTCCTAATATAATAGTGATTATACCTGTGTATGCATATAGTCTTGTCTTGTTCCCAATTTCAGAGAGAAAACTCTCAGTCTTGCTTGCTGGATTTTTTTTTGAAATTACATGGCTTTAACCACACTAAAGAACTTATATCCTAATCATCATGAGGGCTCTCATTAAAAGCAAATACTGTATTTTATCGAATGCCTTTTCAGCATCCAGAGAGATGAAAGTGTGATTCTTTTCCTTTGTTTTATTGAGGTCATTTATTCCATTGATTGATTTTCTGTTATAAAACTGTCCCTTCTATTTCTGAAATAAATCCTACTAGTAATACTCTGTAACTCTTTAAATATGCTGCTGGATTCTGTCAGGATTCTATTGAGAATTTTTGAATCTAAATTAATGAAATATTGGCCATTAGTTTTCCTTTTCTTGTGGCCCTTTTGTCTTTTGTTTGGGAGAATTTTCCAGTGAAGCCCTCCAGTTCAGGGCTTTTTTAATCTTCCTGAGTCAGCCTGAGTAACCTGTGTGCTTCTAAGAATTTGTCCATTTTAAATTTGCTGTCAAGGAGTTGTTCGTACCATCCTTTTATAATTCTCTTTCTGTTGGGTCATTTGTGATGTCCTCTTTTTTCTTATTTTAATTATTTGCATTTTTCTTTTTTTAATTTTTTCATCATCTTGCTAAAGACTTGCCAATTTTATTGATTCTTCCAAAGAACCAACTTATAGTTTTTTTATTTTATCTGTTGATTTGGGGGGGGGGTTTGGTTATTTATTCCATTTCTTTATGCTGTGAAATTTCCTTTTGCTTTTCTTCTGGTATATTAAAATTAGCTGGTCATTCCTGTTGGTTCCTCAAATAATAATATTGGACTATTTCTTTGAGATTTTTTTTAAATTTACACATTTCTTGCTATACATTTCGCTCTGAGTACTGCCTTTGCTGCATTCTGTAGATGTTGGTTTGTTATATTTTCATAGGACCCATTAACTTTGTGAATTATCTCTTGATTTCTTCCCAGAAAGATTGGCAGTTTATTGTTGTGTTATCTAAATTGCCTATGTTTATGTGATTTCTAGTATTTTCTTCTTTTTGTTGTACATTTCAAGTTTCACTCTGTTCTGGTTAAATTAACCTACCTTATATTATTTTAATCCTTTAAAATGATCAGAACTTCTTTGGTGACCTAACAACATATGGCCTGTTTTAGAGAATGAAGCATGTGTACTGAAGTATATTTTGTACCACTGATACAAAGGAACCGAAAGATTGTTACTTCCAATCCCCTGGATACTCCGAGGAGAAAAATAGGCTGTTCCTTTCTGTTAAGGTTTACATCTTTGGAAATGTAATGAAGGTTTACTGTAAATTGGAATCAACTTCAAGACAGTAGGTTTGGATTTGGTGAAGAGGGTTGTTAACATGAAGGAGTTTTGGTAGCACAGTACATTATATGTTATGCTTTTAATTGAAAGGCCATTCTACAAGGCAAAGATATACAATCTCCTCCTATGGACTTACAGCTTAGGAAACCCAGTGGGAGTTTCCCTGGAAGTCCCAGTGGGTTGTTACAAGGAAATATTCTATACACAGCTGTTGAATCTAGCTTATTTGGTCATTCAAACCATTCTGTTTCCCTACTGGTCTGCTTTCTAGGTGTTCTGTCCAGTATTGAAAGAAATTGAAGTCCCCAACTATTATTGTGGTGGCGTTATTTGATGCCATCGAATAGAGTATATGAACAGCAGATCTAAGTCTTGCCCTATCCTGTGCCATCCTCATCATCTCTGATAAACTTGAGGCCATTGCTTCAGTCATTCTGTCAATCCATCTTGCTGAAGGCCTTCCTATCTTTCTCTGACCCTCCATGTTTTCATTCATAAGAGCATGTTGTCCATTTGTAAGAACTCATCCTAACAACATGCCCTATATACGTGAGACAGAGCTTCATCATTATATAGTGCTGTCTATTTCAAACAAGTCTGTCTTGGAGAAAATGAAACAAGGATATTCCTTAAAAACAAGGATGGTGAATTTTGTCTCATGTATTTCAGGCATGTTTTCAGGAGAGATCAGTCTTTGGAAAAAGACATCATCCTGGGAGAGGTGGAGGATCAGAGAAAGAAAGGAAAACTCAACAAGATGGATTGACACAGTAACTTTAACAATGGATTCTCAAGGATGTTGGAGATCATGAGGACTGTGCAGGCTAGGGCAAGATTCAGATCTATCATTCATAGGGTCATGATGAGTCATCGTCAACTAGCTAGCACATAACAACAATAACAATTACTACTTATTTTAGTTATGTTAGAGTTTTCTTTATATGTTTTGATGCTCTGATGTTGGGCACATATGTATTTATGTTTGTTAAATCTTCTTGATTAATTGACTTATGTACTAAACATTATTATCTTTTCTATTTTGTTTAAAAGTCTACTTTCTCTGATAACAAATTGCTTTTCCAGTGACATTTGGGTTGTTATTTGCTTGGAATATTTTTTTATTCTTTCACTTTCAAACTATTTGCATCTTTAGGTCTAAAGTGCATCTCTTACTAACAGCATATAGTTAGATTATGTTGGGGGTTTGTTATATTAGCCTTTATCCATCTGCCATTTTCTGAATTTTTATTGGTGTAACTAAGCCATACATTCAGTGGAATCATTGATAAGAAAAAAATTTACTTCTGTCGTTTTATATTTTTGGTTTTTGTGTCTTAGTTTTGTCTTTTTCCTTTGCTATTATCTGCTTTTATCTTCTATTTTCTTTTTCTTGTAGTTAATGTGAAAAGTAAAAGTAAATTTGGCTTTCCATTCAGCCAGCTAGCCAACTGACTAGAAAAGATCAATATTTGTTCCCATTCCAAAGAAAGGTGATCCAACAGAGTGCGGAAATTATTGAACAATATCATTAATATCACATGCAGGCAAGATTCTGCTGAAAATTATAAAAAAATGATTGGAGCAATATGTCAACAGAGAACTGCCAGATGTGCAGGCTGGATTTAGAAGAGGTTGTGGTACTAAGGATACTATATTATAGCTAATGTTAGATGGATCTTGGAAGAGAGCAGAGAATATCAGAGGAAAGTCTATCTGTGCTTCATTGACTATTCAAAGGCATTTGACTTTGTGGATCACAATAAACTGTGTTCAAACATTCTTCTAGGTCTTATAGCCCTGGTGTGTTTGTCCACATGCCGTACAGAGGTAACTGTGGTCGCTGTGAAGCTGAACACTGTGACACTGATGTGTCAAATATGTTAATAGTTACCCATGGCGGACAGTGTTTGGTTGCGCTCCCTGATTAAAACAAGCTTGGAAGCAGGAGTGGTATCC